CTGTGGCGCCCTGTCCTCCACCGGGTAGTCCGTCTCAAAGGCCAAGTCCTGTGGCAGGAAGAACTGGTTCATCGTGGGCAGGCTTCCCAGGTCGTTATCCTCCGCGGTGGGGATTAGGTGGAGTAGCCCGGAGGATAAGGTGAAGCCGATCGAGGCTTTGTAGTCCGCCTGCATATCCACCACCACTTCCTTTACCTGGTTCTCCTTAAGGTCATAGATCAGGAAGAGGAGGCTGCGCGAAATGATGGACGGTTCCTCCGATGGACCCGAATACCTCTCCTCTTCCATATGACAGCAATCTTGCCAAAGGCCGAACCAGTCGTAAAGGTCGTCTTCGGTTTTGAATAACGAAATAATTTGATCGGTTGTGTTCTGCATTCCAATAATGTACACACTATTAACGTGCAGATCGGGGCAGGATGCGGCAGGAGTGTTTTCTAAAATATCCGTTATGTGCCAACACTGTTTTAAGGACTCATCAGCTTGGGCCCACTGAATACTGCAACCTAGCAGACCCCCTCCAATCCATTCCTTATTCGAAATAAAATACACCTCTCGGTAGCTACGGAGACGCAGGTTGAATACCGTAAGACATATAGGTTGTCCTATATGGCTGGATAGGTAGCTTTTGAAGAAAGACAAAGGTGGTGTATCCACTTCTTTGAGATCATGGCGATCGGTGGCAACGATGATATCGAAGTACGGTACAAGACCAGTCTGGTGTGCTGGGCTATCGGGCAGCAGACGGACCACCTGAAATCCTTCTATTTTTGATAAATCATGTCCTTGACTGTTATCTAGTTGACTCTGATTCTGACCCATTAGACCTAATGTAAAAATAAAATAACAACACTAATAAAGATAATAATAAAAAAAATGTGCTGTATGTCATTTTATCCATATACAATGACTTTCATATATGAATTATGCATCTTTATTCAGGTTTCACCCACTTCGTGAAATAGAATGGCAAATAGAATTACGCTCATCCGATATCTTCACAAATTATCTACACGAATTTAGAAGTCGTGAATTTTTATTTAGAAATAAGGGAAGAGTTACACTCTTTTATTATTAGTGACGTCTCGTATAATTCATCGATGTCGTGTCGATTCTGAAAGCTTTCTTTTCATATTTCTGAAAATAGAGACTTATTAATATCTTCTCATCTACCATATTATCTCTAGTAATGACGGAATCTTAAGTAAATGAAAAAATATGTTTCCATTATTAAGAACAGCACCGTTTCTCAGAGGTGCTGATAGATTTCTGGTCTCTTTGCTCTGTGGATGAAACGCATGGTCTACCTGGATCTCATTCTCTATTGATATTAATTTATTGGCACATTGTATCTTCCAGTAGTATTTGTTCCAACCTTATATTTCGGTCTAGTGGCAGGTCGTAGATGAGTTTTACTCCTCTTCTTTTCCATCTATGTGTATTTGTTAAAAGCCGAAATGACATCTCACACCCCTCACATTGGTTTACCAGTAAAGGGGTTGATATTTTCATGCGCTGGCGGTTCACACACATCCACATATTCACCCATCTCCGAAATTCCTCCTATCTTTTTATAGGGGCGAAATTTTTGAATGTCATTCTTAGGGTAATACTTGAGTAGGCGGAAAGTACTCTTTTCCGCCAACTTCCCTTCCATCAGCTGTTTGTTAATAGAATTGAGCTGATCTAATTCCGACTTTGCCGCTTTAGCTCGAATCGCGACAATTCGCTCTAGTTCTTCTTGGATTTGCACATGATAAGCATCAAACAGATTAGCAAACAGTTCAGAAGAAGACGCCCGCTGGCTGACGTAGCGCTTTCGAAAAGATTGCAAGCCAGCTACAAGCCCTTCATCAAACACAGGGCACGCATCAATCCAATCGATGATCGCCCCCACCTCAGGGTCTTGCTTTGAGAAAAGTCGGGTTAGAATAAGATGCCGGACGGTGTCCCCAACCTTGTCCTTACGGTCGTTTTCCATCACCAGTTTGATCTTCAATTCGGAACCTGTTGGGGACTTGAGGGTGAAATTATCGCGTACTAAACGACTACCGGACTTGATCTCCTTTATCATCTCCTGGACACGCGCCTTCGACCATAACGTAAAGTACACCTCCGAAGGCTTCAGAGGCATTACGGCCACCGCGCTTTCATCGACGGCGGGTTCCTTCCCGTCCGCGGTAGGCGTCGCCCCAGATCCTGTGGAAACCGATGGAGCGCCCGGCTTCGAAAGCCCGAAGTCGACCGCCGTGGTCGAGTTGCCACCGGCCGGGGTTCCCCCAAAGCCAAATGAAAACCCCGTCGACGAGGTCGTCGACGGCGCTGGTGGGGCCGGCGAGGCCCCATTTCCCTGTCCAAAGCCAAAACTAAACCCCCCGGCCGGGGTCGGGGTGGAGGTCGCAAACCCCGCCGTGGACGTGCTCCCCTGGGAGGCCCCGAAACCAAACACGGCGGGGGAAGCCGAGACCTCCGCGCCCTCCTTGACCTCCCCCGGCTCGTCCTTTCGCACCAACAGATAGGTATTAAGATCCTGCCCGTCCGCCTTGACCATTCGACGCCAGCACATGGCCTGGCCCTCGATCGGGAGA